AAAATGTGTGGAGCGGTCTATAACGTCATTGGTCGTCAGATGAACCATACCCTCGCGTCGGGGGGTGTTTTCGGGATCAACTTCAGAGCCTCTTCCACCAATGACGCTAAATGACGTTATAAACCGCTCCGCCCTCCAGTGATCGTGTTCACTGTCTTAAGGTCCACAAAAAGTTCTGGGTATTTTCGCGCCATCCCTCCTAACGTTAGTCCTCAGTAAAAGGCACTTTCCACAGAATTCGTCAAATTCTTACTATTATAAGATTCCTAAGTCTGGGGAGCGTAGTTGGTGGTATTCTGGTAGTATTTGATAGTATTTCGGGCGAACAATTGTTGGCATCGCCTGCCGTCTCTCGCCTCGCTCAACTGGATCTCGCGACAGTAGGCCAGATCCGTTCAGCTCGAATCCGGTCCCTCCCCTATCCGAAGCGAAATCGGGGGTCGATCGTTCCGTTTTGGAAGAACCGAGTCAGCGATTTTGAGTTATGCAATCCCCATTGGAAAGGAGCCAACTGTGCCAGCACTATCGCTTGAATCATTCTGCTAGATGTGTGATGCTGATAAGCTATGGTAAACATACCATGAAAGCTGAGTTGGGAAATGGTGCCCGGTAGCGTAACTGGTAGCGCACTTGCCCGGAAAGCGAGAGGTGCGGGTTCTAGTCCCGCCTGGGGCGAAAGTTTTGTTCACAACCCAGCATTCTTGTGAAACTACTGTGAAAGAGGCACAGAAGCTTTCAACTGACCGCATCCCTTGTGTAGGTGTTGAAGTGGCACTTGTTGAGACATGCATCTGGCAGTCCTCGTTGCTCGCAGCACTCACGGAAGATGAAGTTCGGATTCTGAAGTGGCAGTTAACAAAAGAATTCCAAGCAATTCTCTTGAAAATCCCTTACCACGAGTTTTTGCAGGGTGCTGTTATCGATCGGTGGTTTCCTTTCAGTGCTGGAATCTCTCAGTTTTACCTTGCCTATTTCACGGCTCATTCCGTAGATATTCCTTTCTTCTACAAAGTCCTCCTCGGCGAAAGTCTTGGCCGGTGGCGAAACCGACTCTTCTGACTCATCACTGATGAAAATTCCATCCTGAAAGAAAATTGCTCAAGTATATTAGGGAGCGAAAGGAGGAATCGTGAAAGAACGTACTATTTTCTTGGTGAGGGAACTTCTGGGGCTCGATTCTGAGCACATCCACTATTGCCACAACTGTAGCGCGGGCTGACAGGACGTTGAATGACAAGGTACAGCCGGAGCTGATGAGCAATAACCGCCCCCTCCACACACTCCTGATGTGAGACACTGAAACGGTCGCCAACTATTCAATGGTTTTGTTTGCTTTCAGCGATCTGGGCCTCAACGAGGACTATCTAGTTATTATTGGGTTATTAATAAGTTTGGTATTGCTACGGAGCGGATAGCCCATTTACCCTCTAAGGGGAAAGGATGAAGGATAAAGGATAAAGCATTTGCCGTTGATCATGCGGTATGGCATGTTTATGATTGATTAAGACTTATACGACGAAGGTAAAGCAACATTGGGCGCTAACGCAATACATAGGGGCATCCTCTAAGACCAAGCCTAGAAGCGGGCAGCAACTAACTTCTAACTGCCCATGGAAATTTGGATAGAGACTCAGGCAACGGCAGTGAGTGCTGGCCCCTGAACAAGAATCACGAAAGGCAGCTTCACTCGGCCGAAATGAGGATGCTGAGATGGGCCTGCGGCTGGACGCGACTGGACAGGGTCAGGAACGAGGATGTCAGAACGGTCATGCAGACTGCCCCTGTCCAGCTGAAGGTGAGGGAGCAGCGACTGCGGTGGTATGGGCATGTGCTAAGAAGACCACAAGGCCACCCAATAAGGAATGCAATGGACTTCGAAGCGCAAGGCAAGCGACCGCGAGGAGCCCCAAAGAAGAGGTGGAAGGACGTAGTCAAGAAGGACCTAAGCGAAATCATGGCCACTGCAGGGGATGCCCTGGACAGAGCGAAGTGGCGACGACTGATATAAGAACAGCGGACCCTGCGACGGCGCGGGACTAACGCTAGGGAGAAGAAGGACCCATGGCAAAGCGGTAGAGTACTGTAAACCAATAACAGATACGTAGACCAAAACTGCTACACGCGAACGCTTTCGGGCAAGTTGTGAGCGGTCACAAGTTGGCGACAGAATGCAGTAACGAAGTTGGGCACCAAACTGCGCCAGATATCTCCGTCTAACGAAAACTCCATAATTCTGATCAACGCCAATGCCCACTTACCCGCTATTGGTACCGGTTTCGAAAACCACAACTAAAAATGCCGACGCGGTTAGATTAGCTCGCCTCTCATACTGACGCTACCCTTTCCGTCAACTTTAACCGCCAAAGATGTTTGGAATGTTCAGGTAGTAGTTTTGGTCTCAATGGTTGTAACTAGCGCTCATTACTCATTGACCTATCCAATCTCCACTTGCCTTATAGCTTCAAGGGAAGTTGGAAGCATTTCCTGGTTAGTGGAAAGTTGAGATTTGCTCACGAATTCTGAAGCTTCCCTCCCTTGCCTAGGGCTTAGTCCCTTTCTGCAACAAAAATGTGATGTCTTACGCGGTTTCAATGAATTGCCAGCATTGTGCCCCCTTATCTTGCGATAGCCCCAAAATTGTTTATGACCTCTCAATTTTACCGAGAGCTCTGATCAGAGGGCCCATACGTCATTGGTAACCCAAAGGGGTATGGCGCTCGAGAACCAGTTTTGTTTTTATAAGTTACTCGTTTCAGTAGTAGTGTAGAGAATGCCACTACCTTCTTTTATCCCACAACGACTTACCTGAAGTGAAGAACGAACAAGAATACTATATACAAGAATTTCTACAATCATCGGCAGTTGTTGAGAGATCAAAAGAAATGGCCTGAAATTAGACAATATGGCGACGTTGAAAGAGAAAACACGTGAAATTGAAAAAGTTGCCACATAGCCGAACAGAGTTGAGTAACAACCGTAGCGGGCCGATCGGAGAGCAATTTATATCGGGTGCGCAAGAACCGGATGGATGGCGCGGTTGAAACACCGTCGTCGATTCCGAGGAGGCTTCAAGCAAAGCCTCAATGACCACTTCGGATTTCGGCAACACTTTCGATAGCCGCCGCAACATAAATGACGTTTTCGCTTTCATCAAGACGTTTTGCTCACAAACCTTTGAAGGAGAAAATCGCCGTGAAAGTCTCATGGCCGAACTGCTCGGAAGTTTGCCCTCTACAATCTTCTCGCATTAAAAAATAAAGGATAAAGCATTTGCCGTTGATCAATCCCTTTTGGGATGCGGCACGCATTCTACTTCCATTTGTACATTCGTAGTGGCGTTTGAATGCGATGCAATGACTTGCGGCCAATGTACAAGTCAGTGTTTTTATCCTCCCAGACAAGTCTGGTACCAATTAACCGACCCCGGAGGGATGGAAGGCTTGGTTGGCCCGGGCGACTCACGACCCAGGATTTGATCCCCGGACCGCTCGCGTGGTAAGCGTGCCACTTGCCACTACACCACTTCCGCCCCCTTTCGCATTAGTAGCGCAAAACTTCATTTTGAGCACCAAAGTTACGTGAAAGCATCATAGTGGACGTGTTTTTAGAGCAAGTTCTGAATTTATTCGAATTCTTTTCTTATCGGGGCCGGGAGGAGAGGCTTGACGACAAGTGACGAGAGAGCACAGGGGGCAAGTGGAACGCAGAGAGCCCATGACCCCTTGAAGGCAGAGTCAAGTGGAGGGATGGAGTATGCCTACCATTGCCCTGTTGTTTTTGGGTATTTGCACGCTTCGAATTATAAATATATGATAGCTATACTATGAAGCCCCTTTTGCCGCTTGAAAGCAAAAGGCAAATGCGCAAGGAGCTTGTCCTATCCGCAACGCACACCTTCGTCCGCACCCCACCCTCCGCTGTTGGTTTAACCACGGAAGCTACCCGACAAATGATTCCAGCGGCGGCCCAGAAAGCAGATCGACGGCAGCCTCAGCGCGTGCTGTGCGATATGAGACGTAGCATGGTGCACCCTTCTTAACCTGACGCCTTACCCGCTACAGTATGCGCTGCGACTCGTCCTTTGCCGCGTCTGCATCTCTTCCTTCGCAGCGCGACGGGCCTCTTGAGGGACACCCCTAGCTTCATAGACAAACGCTCTCTTGGCCCTTTCTTCCACATCCTATGTTTTTTTTCCCGAATCTTGCTTGGAAGTATGCCTACCACATGCGTATGCAAATCTTCATCGATACTGCGCGTTGCGCTGTGAGGCACATCGTTCTTCTTGTTTCCCTTGGGTGGCACGATATAATGATTTGCAGGACTTCCCGGCTGCTCATACGGCTTCGAACAAATCGACATATTGATCACGTGCAATCTCGGTGTTCATCACGGGCATGACACGTGACTACCTAAGTCTGTAATTACGGCATGTTCAACAGCGGGCAACAGGTCTATATCGCTTGGTCGGTAGTATATTTCCAAACATGTTTTGAACGAGGGAGTGCCTATTGGGCTTGACGTTTTGACAAATTTTTCGCTTCAAATTTTTCGAAATTCCTCGAATAATTCCTGCTATATTTCTATGCTTACAGTCTGGTCAGGGATAAATTATCCTCCATTTTGGAAGGCGAGAAGAATGTCGAGTGCAGACCACACATCACAAGTGACGACGGCCAAGAAAAAATGGCTTTTTTTTTCTTGGCCGTCGTCACTTGTGGTGTGTGGTCTGCACTCGAAGCTCTTCTCGTCTTCCGAAAAAAGGCACCTCTGTTGTGGTGAAGGTGGCGCGATTACTCGTGGAGGAAGAATGAAGAATAAAAAATCAATTTTCTTGCAAAGAAATCGGTTTCATGTCATTTGATAGATGAATTATACGGGCTAGGTTCGATAAGACGGGCTGGGAAGCGTAAAAAAATTCGCATGTGAACTCAGAACGAAACCATCAGAACGATTTATGAGCCTGACAAAGGTACAAAGCAGAAATTTGGATTTCTGAAAACTTCTTGGCTTTCCAGCAAATATTTTGGGGTGTTTGGTTCTCATATGTACCAGGGCTCTTCGGAGGGACCTATTTTGGTTGATCCGCTTCTTTTGCCGATGAGTTGAAGAAACAGTCTGAACAATAGAATATGGTTGGAAAAGGTCGACTAGTTTGAACGATAGCTTTTACCTTTTATTTTATCCAGATAGTTCAAGCACAGAACTAATTGCTTCCTGAGATCCGTTTGACCGCTGTTCCCATAAGAGTAGCACGGTAAACATCGCGATGGTACACCAGCGCGAAGGCAGCACTGATGACGATTCCGGGTACGTGAAATGCAGTCCTGCTTCCTTTCGACTGACCATTGAGCCTTCGATGACATTGACAACAACTAAACTGAACCAGTCATATAAATGCTTTAGGTAGCATCGTGGCAAATGGCGTCGATTCAACGCGGGGATCAATTCCTGGATCACTTTTAGCCCAACCAGCAACCCCCCCCCCCCCCCTCGGTCGTTAGGCTCGTATGTGAGAATAAAACATGACTTATGCATCGGCATGCCTCCGCAGTTCTCTGTATGTGCGAAATACTCGATAAAGGTCCCACTACGGTTGAACTTATTGAGAAGGGGTGTGCTGTGGTGCTTCTTGAGCGCCTTCTTGGAACTTATGCCCCTGTTGTCGCTCCCCTTTCAGTGACTGTTCAAAGTCATTTCGAAAGGACTAAGGTACAGTGAATATTGTTATACCTGAAGTTTATCCGCTGACAAACTTCCTTGGAATCCTTGTCCTAATCGCAGTTTGAAAGCTAAAACGTTGGCGCTCAAAGACCCCACCTAAGAAACCTACCATATATGGCATAAAAGTGCTGGGTGACGGACAGCGTATCAAAGTAGCGCCACTTTTTTCTACATCGAAACGCGTCACTAGGACCCTAGGCGCCATGGACTTCTAACAGACTCCACCAAACTTAACATGGTCCGCCCACCGTTCGATATCTTGTCTGCGTCGCCACGTTGATCTGCTATGCTCTCTCTTCTCGGACTTCTCTACCACTCTCCGCGCTCACATTATCTCTCATCTCCCTGCCTGTCTTTTGAACATTCTCCACAGCATGGAGCAAAATGCTCGTATTTCCTGTGTATTTCAGGATTTTCTTTCCTTTTTTCTCCATGGCGGTCCCACCCATCCCTACTTTCACATTTGA